GGTCGAGATCAGTGTCCAGTCGGAGCTCCGATCTGAGCAGGACTCGAAGGTGTTGTTCTTGGGGACTCTTGTAGCTAAATGGTACGTGCTTGGATTTCCCGGTGACTATGGGGACGGACTTAAGCTGGAAATTATATGGCAATAGGATATCCTTGTGTTTAATAATCATAAGACCAGAAGAAAATGACCTTTTTAATGATGGGAAGCTTTCTTTATATGGTAAACAAGAATTCACGGTTGAGGAATGTTTGATTGAAGATAGATCATGACTTCTAGGCTAGAAGACGAAGGCAGTCGAGAAGACCAAGTCGAGGATGAGGGTGAAATATAATGAGAAAATTTGGGTTTAGTCCTTGGGATATTTTGAACTTTAAGATTAATCTCAGATGCAGTTTACTATATATATAATTTATGTTAGAGTTATTTTCAAGATCTAAGTTTGCCTAATGGTCAAATGTGAACATTAAGTTTTGGTTCAAGCCTAATAAAGAGTAATTTAAGATTAATTCTATCCAATAAAACAACATCATTTTGTCATAATTATAAAAACAAAATTCATTACTATAATTAATAAAAAGTTCAGTAATATAATACAATGCTTAAAGTTCAATATTCATTATTGTTATAATTAATAAAAATAAAGGTTCAGTGACATAATACAACGTATAAAGTTCAATAATCATTATTACTATAATTGATAAAATTAAAAGTTTAGTGACATAATATAATGCCTAAAATTCAATGATATTGTGTAGTTTACCCAATCATCACCAATAAGATGAGATCCTCGTTATTAAGTGGTAGGCTCATAAAAGCCCATGTATTTGATTTTTGTGTCATTTAAGTCCACTGGCTATTGCTCGAATTGGATCGACCGGATCTGGACCGACATGATGAGCTGTATTATATATTATGGCGTTTTACAGCCCAGAAGGATTCAAGAGAGCAAAAGTTCAGGAAACTCCTCATTTCAGTTGTCTTGCTCCCAAGAAAAGTTTCCAAAACTCTGATCGACAATGTCCGGCATGGAGAGGTTGCAGAGGATGTTCGCCGGTGCTGGTGGCGCGTTGGGTCACCCGCCTCCGGATTCGCCTACTCTTGATTCGTCGGAGCAAGTCTACATCTCCTCTCTGGCCCTTCTCAAAATGCTCAAACACGGTAATCTCTTTCTTCCTTCCTTCCTTCCTTCTCAATTTCTGCTTACAATGTTTCCTTTTAGTTTTCCTTTTTCTTGCTTATATGATTAGTGTTTATCCGCATCATAGTTTTGTTTCAGAAAAATGATAGAAACAATCGATGGACTTAGCCTATTTTCCTTCTGCAGTTTAGCTTTTATTGAATTAAATTTTTAATTTGCTGATCTGCCTTCCATGTATTTGCCTATGACAAATGTCAGAGTTTTTATTGAATTAAATTTTTAATTTGCTGATCTGCCTTCCATGTATTTGCCTATGACAAATGTCAGCTGTTCCGATTTCAATTTTTGGTTTAATTTAACCTATTCTTGGTAGTAGTTGTAAACTTGTAATTCTGTTTCTGTGCTTGGTTTACGTGAACACTTTATAGGAAGAGCTGGAGTTCCCATGGAAGTTATGGGTTTGATGTTGGGAGAATTTGTTGACGAGTACACGGTGCGTGTGGTGGATGTCTTTGCAATGCCAGAGTGGTACCGGTGTCAGTGTTGAAGCTGTGGATCATGTTTTTCAAACAAATATGCTTGATATGCTCAAACAAACAGGAAGGTATTTGCCTATGACAAATGTCAGCTGTTCCGATTTCAATTTTTGGTTTAATTTAACCTATTCTTGGTAGTAGTTGTAAACTTGTAATTCTGTTTCTGTGCTTGGTTTACGTGAACACTTTATAGGAAGAGCTGGAGTTCCCATGGAAGTTATGGGTTTGATGTTGGGAGAATTTGTTGACGAGTACACGGTGCGTGTGGTGGATGTCTTTGCAATGCCAGAGTGGTACCGGTGTCAGTGTTGAAGCTGTGGATCATGTTTTTCAAACAAATATGCTTGATATGCTCAAACAAACAGGAAGGTATTTGCCTATGACAAATGTCAGCTGTTCCGATTTCAATTTTTGGTTTAATTTAACCTATTCTTGGTAGTAGTTGTAAACTTGTAATTCTGTTTCTGTGCTTGGTTTACGTGAACACTTTATAGGAAGAGCTGGAGTTCCCATGGAAGTTATGGGTTTGATGTTGGGAGAATTTGTTGACGAGTACACGGTGCGTGTGGTGGATGTCTTTGCAATGCCACAGAGTGGTACCGGTGTCAGTGTTGAAGCTGTGGATCATGTTTTTCAAACAAATATGCTTGATATGCTCAAACAAAACAGGAAGGTATTAGCTACCATCAACTTTCCTTCATATAAATTTATGATATTGTTGGTAATAACCCAAAGATTTGAAGAGATAATATTTATTCAACAAGATTTGATGGTTTTGTACTCCTTGATGACATGTTGCTCTCGATTGAACTGACATTTTTGCTTGGTGTTGCAGGCCGGAGATGGTGGTGGGTTGGTACCATTCGCATCCTGGATTTGGCTGCTGGCTTTCTGGTGTTGACATTAACACACAGCAGGTTGGGTTTAAACTTTTTGCATAGCGCTGCATCATATACATGGTAGTCAACTTGCCATGTTACTGTTGCTTAGAAGATTTTCTTGTCAGAATATGAGCTTTAATATCATTAGTTAGCATGCAGGTCATTGATCGCTCATACTTTTGTTGGAAAGAAATGAAAACATTCAACTTATCTGGCTCTATATCGAGTTTCCTGATAGTTTTTTGTTTTAGTGGATTATTATCCCTGAACTTTTTGGTTCTTTCTTTCTTTCTGTTGTTAGAGGGCGGGGGTGGTTCAAATAGGTGGTATATCTTGACTATGCTGTCCTTAATTGATAACGTTAGGGCATAATGGTTGCAGTCGTGTAATGGATAGGAGAGGGAAGGCATCATTTTGGACACTGCATTGTATTAATTGTGATTCATACTTTTGTAAACTCTCACCTGCTCCCTTCTCTCTCTCTCTCTCTCTCTCTGCCACCTTCCTAGATTGAAGCTTTGATCTTCAGGAAGACAAAAAAAAATGTGTCAAAGTCTTATCCTTGGACGTTTAACATCTTTCATTGCTAGCAGAGTTTTGAAGCTTTGAATCAAAGGGCTGTAGCAGTGGTGGTGGACCCAATTCAGAGTGTTAAAGGGAAGGTGGTGATTGATGCATTCCGTTTGATCAACCCCCAAACCATGATGCTTGGCCAAGAACCACGTCAGACAACATCTAATATTGGGCATCTTAATAAGCCATCTATTCAAGTGAGTTCCAGAAGAATATATCTGACTGTTTTTGTGCATCTTTTATATGGGAAATTATTTCATCTCATAATTTTCATTGCAGGCATTAATCCATGGATTAAATAGACATTATTACTCCATAGCCATTAACTACAGGAAGAATGAACTTGAGGAAAAGATGTTGCTGAATCTTCATAAGAAGAAGTGGACAGATGGATTAACACTTAGACGATTTGATACCCATTCCAAAACTAATGAGCAGACTGTTCAAGTGAGTGAATGGACTTTATCATCCTAGTCTATGCTGTTTAACTGTTGACCATGTTACTTGTGTGTGTGTGTGTGTATGCTGTTGGCCCTTGCTGAAGTGAGGTATCCTCAGCATGAAATAGGAAAAAAACATTTGTAAGCCATGAGTACTTTATGAATACCCGTGAAAAGAAGGCAATGGGTTCTCAAATATATGGACTATTTTTCTAATTTGTGAACACTTTGTTATAAAAGCTGCTTTTAGAACGTTGCTTAAAGAGTTGAAATGAATGCCAAATAATTTTCTTTCCTTATTTACTTAATGTTGTCTTCCATAAGTCAAAGTTATGATGCATGTTTGCCATGATATGTGCAGGAAATGCTGAATTTAGCTATAAAATACAACAAGGCAGTGCAGGAAGAAGACGAATTACCACCTGAGAAGCTGGCAATTGCAAATGTTGGGCGACAAGATGCCAAGAAACACTTGGAGGAACATGTCTCAAACTTAATGTCCTCCAACATAGTTCAGACTTTGGGAACCATGCTTGACACGGTGGTGTTCTAAACTCCTTAGCATCTGTATACTGTTTTCAAATTCCGGAACCGCATCTACATTGGTATCATAGATTGTTGGTGAAGCGCACTGCTTTATTATTTGGTGAAAATTGAAAGTGACTTTTAAGTTGTCTCGTTAATTTCTCCCTCCCTCCTTACCTTGATATTTTTGGTAGTTCTTTCGAGATTCTTCATTTTGCAGTTTAGCTAGCTTGTTCGATGTGTTTGTATGTGTTTTGAGATTCATTGCTTTGAAGGGGCAGGTGTTAAAAAAATTATCATATAAAGGAATTAAGAAGAAAGTATAAGGGAAATGTTTAGCGTACAGAAAAATAATTTCGAACAATGAATTTTACGAAGCTTAGTGATGCACAGCTACCACTTGAAGTGGATAACTTGAAACTTTTATAGTGATTTCGATGCTTTCAATTTCAGCGTGCTTAAGAATTTCAAATCTAAGTGAAGAGTTTTGATACTGAAACTCTTGTACCAATTTCGATACTCTAGGCCTTCGACCATCGAATTTTCAAATCTCGCTTCACGAGTTTTGGTAAAAATTCGGAGACTTTTGATTGTATTGGGGCCTTTGATGCATGGATGCATTTATTTTAATAGCTTGTTAGATAAAATTATTTAAATTAAATCAATTTATATCATAATATTATAAATCATTATAATTAAATTTAAACATTAATTCAAAAAACTTAATCCAAAAATATTTTACATAACTAACTCGAAATTTAACTCGATAACTGGCCTGCATCACCAGAATAGCTCATATCCAGCTGATGCGAATGGAGAGCCCAATAACCAACCCAAAAGCCCAGCCCCAAATTGTAACAAATATTCCTGTTCCAGATCCATTTCAACCTTCCTCTTGTCATATGATTAGTTTTTTGTCTTCCTGCATATTTGGTTATATCAAACAGCCTAAAAAAATGGAGAAGATGATGGTTCTGAGATCCATTTTTAGAGCTGCCTGTTCCAGATCTTCCCGTTTCTCGTCTATCGCCGTTGCCTCCGCCAATCACAACCACCACTTGGGTTTCCGGAATCTCTACTCTATCTCAACACTTTCCGCCTCTAATCCGCCCACAAACATTCCTTCGGGTACTCTTCTATCATTATTTGATTACCCATTTCTCGTTTTTCATTATCCTGGTAGTCGCTGGGTTTATCGACTTAGATTTAGTATTTTCTAATGATATAGCTCGTGGCTGGCTTTTCTTCATTGGATTTCCAAATTGTATCCTTTTGGTTGTTTACCTGTTCAAGTTTTTTTACTTGCTCTTTAAAAGGTCTGATTAATGCTCTTTAGAACCCCCTTAGGATTCTGGTGTTTTGCTAACATAGAAATTGATGGGTTCTTGATGTGCTTTTGGTGTATGTTTATGATTATATTTATGATTATAATTCTCTCAGAACAACTACTAAGAACTTCTAGTGGATTGTGTAGCATTTTGTAACTTGTAATAATACCAATTTGTATCAAGTTCAACGCAATTTATTTATGAGGGAAAAATATTCAGGTGGCAGGTCATCCTTTTCCCATAGATTGGGGAGCACGCGCTATTTTAGCGATGATGTATCGCATATGCCTGTCATAACAGACACCGAGATTCTGAATGTTTTTAAGGACTTAATGGCTGCAAGTTGGGATGAGCTTCCTTATTCAGTGGTACAGGATGCAAAGAAAGCCTTGTCCAAGAATACTGATGACAAAGCCGGCCAGGAAGCTTTGAAAAATGTCTTCCGTGCTGCTGAAGCTGTCGAAGAGTTTGGTGGTATTCTGATCAGCATGAAAATGGAACTTGATGACAGCATTGGAATGAGTGGAGAGGTATTACTGTAATCTATAAGACCCTGATGATATTCTTCTCTCCATCTTTACTATTACCAACTGTTGGCATTTGATGAAATGGATCTTCTTTCGCAGAATGTAAAACCTTTGTCAAGTGATTTTTCGGCTGCACTTAAGACAGTTTTTCAAAAATATGCAACTTACTTGGATGCATTTGGTCCTGATGAAACCTACTTGAAAAAGAAGGTGGAGACAGAGTTGGGATCAAAGATGATCTACCTAAAGATGAGATGCGGTCACCTTGGTGCTGAGTGGGGAAAGGTACTAAAAATATTTGCAAAGTATTTATAAATTCGGTTATGACTACATGATCTACCTCGAGGGCATATAACATAGTTCATTCATGCACTGCGTAGCATTTTTTTGTAGTTCATGTTTGTGAAACAAGAGAATTATGATTACCGTTAAGGTGCCAGATAGTAAATAAGATTTGAGAACAGCAAGGAAAGTCACCTCAGATTATATCATATGTACTAATTGTTATTTGTTCTTCCCTAATCTGTGTTTAACATCCTAACCATCTGGTGTTCTGTAACACCAATCTGAACCCTAGGCTAAAGGTTAACTCGTTTAGAGAATCTGCCATAACAGAACTGGTTTGGTTATAAGGTAAAACAAGCGAATAGATTCATTTGCCATTCGCTCATTTTTCTTTGCTGCATTTATGATATTTTTCAATGGTAGTCGTTTGCATAAGCACTGTGCATAAATACTGATGCCAATTTGCTTGTGTTCCTGCGCAAATATTTTGGTTGTTATAAATAATGCAAATCTATTTTGACTGGTTGCTTTCGTTGCAGATTACTGTTCTTGGAACATCTGGGCTTTCTGGATCTTATGTGGAGCAAAGAGCGTAGCACTATAGTGTTGAGGGAGTTCATGTTAACATTTCCCCCCCCCTGTTTTAGATCATGTCTATGAATATTAGGGGACAGGTTGGTGTTCTCCTGGAAAACCTTGGTAGCTAAATAAATGGCTTATGTTTGTCAACAACAGTAAATCAAAGTGTAAAATCATGCTTCTTTTATGAGAAGATTTTCCACCATCATTTATTAGGATCTGTAACTACAAAGTTAAGCATTGCGTTTACACAGCAACATCCCACTCACAAAATTCCCTCAGGATTGATCGCCCTGGAAAATCCTCCAAATCGAACTTACTAGTCTCCGGGAAGTTGACATTGTTTATGCTCCAACAATGGGAAAAGTTCGACTTGGTCGACATAAATGCTTCTCTGCTTGCACCACCACTCGAACACATTGAGAAACAACTCCCTGCAGAAAAGAATTCATCATCTTCATTATCATCGTCTCTTCTTTGGGGTGCTTTGAGCTTATATAAATTAGCTCTCCCGTTGATGGAGATAACACCCAGGAGAAGCTTTCCACCATTAGACTTGGCCTTCTCTTCGTCTTCTCCATTGCTTGACTTTGAATTTCCATAATAACTACCTGTAAACAACACCACAAACAATGAGAAAAATGAAGCGAACACTTTATATTGGCGAACATAATTCATATTATACATATTCTTAAAGGACATTGATTGTTATAAGAATTGTAGTTCTTTTTTTTTATTTCGCTGTGGAAATTGACCTGATTGTGCTGACAGCGGCCTTACAGCTTACTGAATATACTGGGATTCTTGTATACTATGGGGTAATGACCAAGTTAAAAGGGGGGGGGGAATAAGGGGGCTAAGACAGATCAACAAATGGCACTGAAAATCCCAGTTTTCAGCTTGAAATTACCGTGTGATTGTCATCAACTGGGATTAAAAAATTCCACGTGGAGACCCTTGAAAGTGAATCATATTTCTCCACTTCTCCATAAGATGGTTCTTTTAGAGTTACTTCCAAGTTTTACTTGAAGCTCAAGTCGGTGAAAAACGAGACACGTTACCAAACAATGACAGAGTTGGACAAATTTGACAAGGATTTTCTTCTTTTATGTAATTATTTAAAGGCTGTTTATAAATATATATTATATTACATTACATATCCAAAATTTGATCAAGATCTAGGGGAAACTATTCTTCTTCTGCAAATTGAAACTTGAATATATTGTATTACTTCAACCAAAAGACAAAGACAAATACTAACTTCACAGTGTTGCAAATTTAAGTTTGAAGAATAAACTACTACCGAATGAATTTACTAAGCAATCCAAAAGACAAATATGAATTTACTGACTTCAACCAAAAGACAAAACAAAGACAAATACTAAGTTATTTTAGAACTGTTTAGCAGTATTGGCAGCAACCGAATGAATTTACTAAGCAATCCAAGTGAAATGGTTAATCTAAGTGAAATTACGAGTAAATCAAGTTAAATGAAAAATCTTAAACTTACCTCGTTGCGTAGAGTATGAACCTCATTCTGCAACGATGCTACCATCTCACGTAGAGCCGCTACCTCACCACTTAAAGTAGATACCTCCTTACGCCATTCACCATTGTCATCGCGTGAAGTACTGACCTCCTCACGCAAGGCATTGACCTCATCACGTAACTCCCCTAACTCATCCCGTGGAGGTGGAGGTGGAGAACAGGGAGAAAAATGTCGTGGCATCTTTGCCGGTCGCCTATCATGAGGTGATGGTAGAGAAGAGGCTCGATGATGTGACAGAATAGGTGATGACTCTCGTTGTAGAGGTGTATAGTGTGTTCGATCAGGTGATGGCTCTCGAAGTGGAGGTTGCTCATCATCCATGCCATCAAAAAAACGCTTACTAGCTTGCCACCAATCAGTGGCAAGCTCAGCCTCCGTGGGTGTCAGCCTCTGTAATGGAGTGTTGGCTTCCTAACAATATAAAAGCTCAAATAAAGTTAAACGTGTACTAGTAATAACTTGTTTATATATGATAGTATTTGTGTTAACTTACATCATTTATTGTCGTATACCGTAGTAACTCTTCCCAAATCAACAGTCGTCGTTTCCTCTTCCAGGAAATAGCCCTAGGAATATCATTTGAAGTTTTGAATGCATATATCTGCTTGTCGGGAAAAGCCTCAAATATCCAAATCTACAAACAATATAATACACAAACATTAGTAATTGTTAAAATAATTAATTATAATTTTGGAAACATTATATAGAAATTCTTACCTTAAAGGCCCAAATAAAACCTAACAAAGTGTATTTGGAACCATCGCCACGCAAACTTTTGCGGTCATCAAAGGCAGACGACAACTTATTCCAGGTAGCTTTCCATAGATACGAACCCCACGGAAATAGGTTCCATGCATTTAGGTCCTCTACCAATAATATTAGGTCCTTAGGAATAGGTTGTCTGCCCTCTCTGCCTAAAAAGCCAGCATGCAAAAGTACTAAAAGGCATACTCGGACAACATCGACGTCATCCATCCGAGTAAAACCATCTTTCTTATTAAATAATCTCGTCAAGTCGTCGACGTGTAAATTCGGCTTCTCCATTGACAGCTCAGGAAAAACCCGGGATAACCATGATGGGCGGGTAATATGACTAGTGTATCGACCTACATCATCGTGTCCGAAGCGTAGGCCAGTGATTAAGCAAAACTCCTCCAGCCCAAAACACGTATGCGCCGGTGGAAAATAAAATCATATCTCTTCATTACCATGTTCTATACTCTCGGGTAGATCGCGTGTCATGGTCTGAAGCCACAAATGGGTCAACATAACATCTCCACCCGGATGTTGTACTTTCAGCCATGGCCCGAAGCAAGTATCCTCAAACAATTGTCTTTGTACAAGTGAAAGCTTCGACACAATTGTAGTGACTAGGCTTATTTTATTCCTTAAGGTCAATTGAGCCAAAAAAAAGTTCTACAAAAACAATAAACATATCAAGTTAGATATACCAAAAACTACACTGTGAAGATATACCAAAAACAATAATAAACATAAAGCGTAGTAGTTTATTCTTCAAGCTTAATTTTGCAACACTGTGAATTTCGTATTTGTCTTTGTTTTTTGGTTGAAGTAATGCAATTCATTCAAGTTTCAATTTGCAGAAGAAGAATAGTTTCTGAAACTTAAAATCGCAACACGAAAATGAAAATCGCAACACGAAAATGATTATCGCAACGCGAATTTGACTATCGCAACGCGAAATGGCTACCGCAACGCGAATTTTGTCGTTGCGATTTTCATTTCGCGTTGCGATTCTCGGTTTCAAATGGTCATTGTCTAAAATTGAAACTTGAATGAATTGCATTACTTCAACCAAAAGACAAAACAAAGACAAATACTAACTTCACAGGGTTAAAGACTAAACAATAGCAGTATTGGAAGCAATCTATTATTGAAATTACCAGTAAACTTATCATTAATTTCAATATGAAAAACCTAATAATAATGCAAAAATTTCAAAATAAAAATAATTAAAAAAACTAACCCTCGGTGGTTGATTTGGTTGATTTTCCATTTCTGATCGTGAATGATTGTGAGGGTGGCTCTAAGAGATGGAGATAGACGGATTTCGTCGGAGATGGGGACGGATTTCACCGGAGATGGGGACGGATTTCGTCGGAGATGGGGACGGATGTCGCCGTAGAGAATGAGAGATGGAGATGAGACTGAGTTGTGATTTAGGGTTTTAGGTTAAGAGTTGCGATTACAGGTAAATATTCGTGTTTGGAATTTGAAGATAAAATACGCGTTGCGATACTAATGGCGCTTTGAAAATCGCATTGCGATTTTATATTATCGCAACGCGATAGTCAAAATCTCGTTACGATAGTCAGAATCGCGTTGCGATAGTCAGAATCGCGTTGCGATCACGTGTTATCGCGTTGCGATCACGTGTTATCGCGTTGCGATCACGTGTTATCGCGTTGCGATTTACATATTCGCATTGCGATTTACATATTCGCATTGCGATTATCTAAAATCGCAACGTGGATTTCGAAAATTGCAATGCGATGGTCAAAATCGCGTTGCGAATCTGGAAACTGAATTGCGATAATGGAGATCACGTTGCGATTTAGAGATCGCATTGCGATTTTGTTGGTCATTTTGGCAAATCGTAAAAAAGTTGGTTAAAATCGTATATTATAAGGAATTTTCGGTCACTGAGGTTATTTTCTCTTCTATAATTCCCAAGTTGGTTCATGTATATAAATACCTTTCACACTTGATATACCACCAATATAAGATTTAAGCTTTTCATCTTTCTCAACATAATTCATGAATAGCTTACTTTGAGCATTAATTTCCTATTCATCACTTGACTATTTTGAGTATATGATATATTGTTGTAAAAGTCTCATGAAGTGAAATATAAAATTATAATTTTATTAATCGAACCTCCACATGTACCTTTTAAAAATATGACTCAAAGTTTCTAAAAATATACTTTTTCCAACAAAACATTAACTGAAATAATTAAATTGTCTCACTTGTTGCGTGGTTTGATTTCCATGTTACAAGTTAAATGGTAGTGTCTTTAACATAAGATTACCTTTGGGAATAAAATTATTAGAATATAACATTATTATGAGAATATTATATTACCTTGTTAGGTATGTTTAGTAGGAATTTAAGATTATAATGTTTGGTTGGACGAATATGTTTTTTCAATAAGTTAAAATTTTATGTTAAATTATAAATATTTGAATGAAAATTGATAAAAATATTTTAATTGTTACACAAATTAACTTTTAAGAAAAATACATTCAATATATAATAAATATAATTATTATATCAAACTTATATTTTAAAATAATTTTCATAAATATCATATTTATTTATATAAAATAAAATATGAAAAATAATGTTAAAGTCTCCGGTGGACAAAGATATTAATTTTTAATATATAAAATTTATTTATTTTAATAACTCAAAATTAGATATTATTTTAAATAATTATATTTTTCTACAATATATCATTTTTTTCACTTCTTAAAATTATAAAATGATTAATATATTAAATATTAATATAAAATAATTTTGTTACTACATGTAATCCCGTGATTCACACGAATCTTGAGCTATGAAAATTGTATCTTGTGAACTCCCATTAATTAACATGTGACCCTCGTCTATAACCTCAAGAACATACATTGCAGACTCACTAACGATCACATGTTGATACACGTGGCCTTACTATATGATTAATCAATCCTTATCATCACTTCTTGGGACGTCTCATCAAAATGAATGTCACGTCATCCTCCTAATAGACACCTGTCCAGTGTATTATATATAGCCATACAACATAGAGCAAAAGTACAAATGATATTCTTCACAAGAAACCAGACCGTTATCTCCAAAAATTCAGAGAACCACCACTAAAATAACACTCTGACCCCCTCCTATGACGGTTGTCTACTTGAGAAGTCAAAAAAATTTTAACTACTCAAATTTATTAATAGTTTACTAGATAAAACTCTTTGTATATTATTATTATTATTTTATAATTTTGAGTATAACATGAAAAATAAGAATCGAGAATGATTCATATGAAAATAA